CAGCTGAAGGTATTTTGATTACAGCATTGTAATCATTCGAAATTATTAAAAAGACCAGCATATATAAAGATTATAAAGATTTTAATCTCACTTTTCACATTTGTCAAAAACAACTTTACGATACAAAAGATGAGATAAAGAAATATACAACACAATACCAATCTAAAACGTAGATTTAAGGGAAGATTGTACCATGAAACATCAAAAAGTTACGAAAAATTTTAAAGTGGTTATCTACCACAAAAAGACATCATTCTGATCCTCCGGTATTGGTTTAAACGAATTGCAACTTTCGAGACTGCTGCCGCGAAGTCATCAATGACAGTATCTATGTCAACCTGAGTGTCCCGATGGGTATGGAGGACAGCAAGAGCAGACAGCCGTTCTGTCGTCATTGTTGTCCGGAGGTAGGTCTTAATTCGTCTCATCGAGCTGAAAGATCGTTCGGCTGATGCAGTCGATGTCGGCATTGAGAGAAGTACACTAAAGATATTTCTAATGTTTGGGTATAGATCTCGACTTGTCCGATCCAGGATTTCGCAGAGACCTCTTGGTCGGTCCTTTAGTGGAATGGCTACCCATCTGGTTCTCCATCGCCGAACTTCCGTCAGGTAAGACGCCTTGTCGGACAGGTCTACTTCAAAGGCATCAAACACTGCGTTGACAATATCGTCAGTGAGTTGCTGAAGATTACGTGGGAAGAGCGTCTCTGCTTTGAATCTACCCTCGCTATCCAATAGCCGTGTCTCCAGCTCTGTGATCAAATGGTCAAGAAAAACCAAGAACAGACTAACTTTCCAATATTGCCTTGGGTCGGGTATCTGGTAGTTTGCACGTTGCTGCTGTCGTCCAGTTTGTCTCGGGACGCAAGGTTGAATACCGTATTCTGCGGCTACGCCGACAGCCTGGTCAAACAGCTCATTCCAAACATCATCATCCGCTCGTTCATTTCTGAGCATACTTATTACAGTCCTGCATTCAGTGGCGGCTTCCATAAGGTCGCAGTCTACTGACTGTAGATGGTTGGAAAGCGCAACAGTGCCGCTGAGGATGTGTTCAGTAACGACCAGCCCAATGATAAACTCGAACCTCAAAATTGCTGCCAATCTTCCACCCGCTTTGTCATCTCCGTCGTTCTTCAACGCCTCCAAACTACTAACGATGACACTGAATGAAGCCTTGAACGTGTGTAAGGCATCAGCACGACTAGACCATCTCGTTTCGCACAGTGTTCTCAGTTTGGTCCTAGACTCCATTTGATCTTTGGCGTTTTGGTCACCGAGGAGCTCATTTTTGAAGTACTGCAAGCGCTTTGCTGAATAATCGAAAGCAAAAGCGATATCCTGCACCGTTCCCATGATGGTCCGTACACAGGCTTGGGAAGAGGAATGAACAAGGGCAAGATTTAACTGGTGCGACTTGCAATGCACATAGGTGGCATGCGGAGCTGTTTGTCTTATAATTGCCTGTACACCGCGAAATTTTCCAGACATGTTCGATGCCCCATCATATCCCTGAGCCCTTAATTTTGCAATGTCCAGGCCAAAGTTCCGAAGAGCTTGTATGATTTCAGGAACCAAGTCCTCCCCCTTAATGCTCTTAACATGTATGAAACACAAAAAGTCTTCTTTAACACATATTTCACCGTTTTCTGTCGTATCAAGGTAACGCACACAGACAGACAATTGCTCTTTGGTAGATTTGTCTGTACATTCGTCTGCAAGAACGGCGATGTACGGTGACTCCTTAATTCGAAGTGTAATTGCTTTGGTGACATGAGACGCCAGTATTTCAATTAATTCGTTCTGGATATCTGGAGATGTGTACTTTAACTGCGCGTTAGGGTTGGAGATGTGATCTTGGACCACAAGATCATCTGCACACAGAACATTCAAAATTGCCCAAAAATTGCTCTTTTCTTCAGTGTGCCCCCTGATTGCAATGTTTTGCCGACCACACAGCAGCAACACCTCGATTATCTTTTTCAATATGTGTCTGTTTTTGTTGACATCTGCTTTGTGAGAAGAGTCGAGTTTTGATACAATTGAGTCATCCTTTCCAGTCATAATATCAATAAAATGATCCGCCGAAATCTGACAGCCATGGTGAGGTGAGTTCTCTGCTTCATGACGCTTGACGTAAGTGGAAAGGTTGATCCAGTCATCTACTGGAGATCTGAATGGCCTCTCCTTTCCAGACTTATCTCCAAATATGAAGCAGTGCACGCAATAAACTGAATCTTTGGAGACGGAATAGCGCATCCATGGATGTTCTTTCAACCAGGTGTAGTAGAATCTTCTCTCGCGGCCATGTACTTTTCTGAAATAGAAAGACACTGGTATGTAAGTACATGTAAACACAAAAGTACCGAGCATAAGTCAAAAGGGACATTCCGAATACGACATCATCAATATGAAATCACATTCACTGAGAATTAGCTTATATTCTCATTAATACCTAGTATGTGATAAATAGAATCTTACACTAGTGACTATGTAGCATGCAATATGAAACTTATCAAACTAGTTGATTAACTCGATATGCTCACAAATCTTTATGCAAGTGGCATGTAGAATTATTGAGCGATTTTCATGTACAAATACATGATGTAACAACGTAAAATCATCTATTTGAAAAACGCTTTTAAAATTGCATATATAGTACGGAAGTAGCATGTATTATATCATGAACCATATATGTTTCATCAGACGGGTTCTATATACGTTAACTCACTTTTCTGCTGAATTTTAGTTTCAACTCGTACGTAAAGCCCTTTTCAAAATCCTTAAAGCCCTTTTCAAAATCCTTACAGCCCTTTTCAAAATCCATATAGTTTAGATATGTTTTTTCCTGAATTTAAAATCTAAATTCACCCTTTCTATTTATCTATTGAAATCATATTTTTAAAAAGCTACACAAAAAGAGCATTGATTTTTTTATCGATAAGCGTCCATAAGTATGAGGAAACTGTATTGTTACAATACATGTAGTTTAGACACATATTTTGTTGTACTTTATGATCCTTAATGAATGCAAAAGCTCATAAAATCATCGTTACCTTTTATTATGCATAGGGTAGTGGAAAAAGAGCTAACAATACCCTTGAATAACAGAAACAATATGTCTTAGGGTAATGGTAACGAAACTGTCAATGAACTGGGATTGCCGGTGACCAGACGGCTTAATCGCTTAAACTGACGGTCTAGTGTTCAGAAGATCCTGAGTTCAATGCTGCATATTTTTGTTCTCTTAATTCCAAGAAGTATTCTTATATGACCCAAATTGTTCATAAGACGAAAAAGAAACAAGTTGGCATATTTAACAAATGGCGAATGCTGTTAAATTGATTATTTGAAACAAAATGTAGAAAACAGCCGTATATTACATTTCAACCACAAACATACCGATATGAGGCACAGAACACTAATACAAACACGCATAAGATTATGTGTTTTTAGTGTAACGTGTGTATGCGCATTTTGCCTCCTATCTGTAATATCTCTAATATAGATGTTATAGTATAGACACTTGTAACACAATTCTATTAGTTGACGATTTATTTCTTTGTGATGATATTAGATATATCTAGGCCATTATTTACAGTAATTGTGAAATACTATAGGAATGGGGAAAGACCGGGCTCGAACCCGGAACCTTCTGAACTCTAAAACTCTCATTTGCGAATAACCAATACCTTTGTGGAAAGGGAAAACCGAGCCACTGATCCCAGGACTCTAACAAAACTTTCTTCTTTATTTGATCTGTTAACTGTTCGCAAGCTAGGTCAACACAACATGGTCCTTCTTTTAGTTCTTGCTGAAGTTTGACTGGGTCTGATTTGTCATCGGGAAGCGATTCGGCTATATTTGACGAAGACTCTTCAACATCAGACTTTGGAACCTTTTTGAAAAAATCTTCTATCTTTTTCGACATGATCTCGAAAATGTAAGCGCTTGTTAACTTGGTTACGGAAGTGTGTCTGGTATTATAAAAGTAAACTTGAAACCTGGAAAGTTTCCGGAATATATCGTCGCAACGGTATATAAAACAAATCGCGAGAAAAGAATCATGCACATTATGGAAATAGATTAATAAACAAGAAAAAGAAAACATGTTTTCTCGAATTTTATTCTTGCATGCTTGAGCATGCAAGCATGCACGGACGCTACGCCACTGGTTAGAGAATCGGTTTTACATAGAATTCTGAGACATTTTTTTACCTTAACGAAATTCGAGAAATGGTCTTTAAACTCTATTTGATTAACATTGTTTGTATTTATTCATTCTCTTAACAGTTTGTGAATCTTTTTCGGTAATTTGTTTTATCTCTCAGGATAGTACGAGATGGAAAGAACGCGCAAACTGTTTTCAACGGCCACATTTCCGACTCTGATTTACTGTACAGTTTGGCGAACCACTATCTCACAGGTAATTCAGTAACATGATATACGATATAATATATATGAAATATTTCACTGACTGTATTTGTTTTTTAAACATATGTTTTCGTATTATGGTTAGATACGTCAAAATATATGTCAGCAATGCAATAAAAATACTTAATGCTTCACGACCTCTTCTAAAATAAGAAAATAATTATGATAATAAAGGTAAATAGTAATAGTCAGTTGCAATGAATGAATAGAAAGCGGTAATATCATTGAATTTTGCAGTGAACTTTGGTGGATTTCATGATGATGAGACTGGCATTTGGGGTTACACATGGTCGGCTGGTAAGACTATTTGTGGGTCGGACGTGGTGCGAGAGAGAGATCCACATGGTCACCTGTCCCATACTAAATACTGGACGCACACAGGTTACGCTAAGGATCTGTACCTTTCTGATGGCGAATACTACGTCACGGTCAGCGCTCTGAACAACGTGGTGTATGGAGGTGCATTAGTGACAACTGTTTGTCATACAACACCGATCGTTATTGATACAACGCCTCCCGTTTTCCAAAGGGTTTCAAGTGTTTATTTCGACGAGGACTTTGATATCCTTGCAATTTATTATTCAGCATTCGATGAAGATTCGAAACTCAAACTGGTTGAATTTGGCCTCGGCAAAACAAAACATGATGTCACTATCCGGAGTTACTCAGAGTTCCCACTTGTCACTGGAGATGATCCATTTGTTGGTGTTGAGGATTTCAACCTATCACCCGGGGTGTATGCATGGATACGATTGCGTGTTGAAAATAATGGTATGAAGGGAACACATACAAATACTTTATTTGCTTTTTATTTAACGTCTTAATAGTTGTATTTTATCCTATTTTCAATAGTAATATATAAACATAGTTTTCCTATATACCCTTTAAAGTTGGTCATAATTTTTTATCCTATTCACAGTGGGGTTATTCACAAGTGGGCACGGAGATGATCCTATCATGATAGACAGAACAGCTCCCCTAGCCGGAGTTGTTAATGATGGGGCAGTCACAAAATCAGATATACGATATCAATATGAAACAACGGCTATATGTGCCAATTGGCTCAATTTTTACGATCCGGAAAGTGGAATTTCGAAGTACGTATAATTGTGTTAATTCAAGTCTTTTTTCATTGGAAGATTATCATCACTTAGTTCAAGCTGTCTTTCCCAATTTAAGTACTATGATATTTATGTTTTTCCCCTTTTAGGTTTAAATGGGGTGTTGGTACAGCAGCTGGATTAGATGATATCATTTCGTTTCGAAATCTCACACACCACGAGAGACATGTTTGTAGTACCGGCGTCAGCTTACAGCACAATGTTACCTACTTTTCAACAGTCTTTGCCTATAACTCAGCGTTAAACCAGAAATTTGTAAACTCGTCTTCTGATGGTGGTAAGTTCGAATCAATAGAACTAGAAATCATGTACATTACTAGCCCAAGTAATTTGTTTCAAAGACGTTTGTGATTTATGTAACACTGCAACAAATTTATCATGCTCGCCGGGAGAACATGTAGTGCCGGCCATGTCCGTCCGTCCATAAGTGGAACATAATTTTACCCACAGCAAACGATCATTAAACATAGTGTTTACATTCGTCATAAGAAAGCAATGTGCAGTGTAACAGGACCCTCAACCCCATTTTTCAATAACTATGGATCTTTGTTAAAATTTCGTGGCTGGAGCATAATTTTGTTTGCATTAAACTAAACAATGTAACGTATGATACACTTTGATCATACTAAAATGATGTGAAGTGTATCAAATTCACGGCTCGAAAGGCTTACATACAGAGTTGTTGCCCATTGTTAGCATGTCTGGAGCATAACTCATCTTGTATTTACACTACGATAAGTGTATCACATTTATTTATTTATTTTGGTGTTAAAGGATGTGCGGTGTACTAAAACAAGGCCAAGGCCTGCAACCTCTTAAATACCGAATAATTGTCAGAGCATTACTTTAATTTCATGTAAGCTAGGATAATAAAACTTGGTGTATACATTGGTGGTAACTAGGAGGACGTATAAGGTACCAAAACAGTGCTATATACTCCAATTTGATCACTTGAGAAACGTGACAGGCAATTATCGTCACTAGGTGTTGGTAACTAATGTTCTCCACCTGTTTCAGTACTTATCGATGTCACGTCACCTGACGCTGGATGGTTACATGATGGGTTATCTTTCCATGGTGATATACAGTTTACATCATCATCAGCTTCAAAGTCTTGTTACTGGAATAATTTTACTGATGCTGAGAGTGATGTCGACCATTATGAAGTGTCGGTTTTTGTGAATAATGAGCTGCGCAAAACATTTGTAACGACAAACAATTCAAACACTCTGACTGATTACACTGTTTCCATGGAACACAGTGACGTCGTATACTGGAAACTAACCGCATATAACGGTGCTGGTCTTGAAACGGATGTTAATAGTGACGGATTCCTGGTTGACCACACAGCCCCCGTGATGGAATACATTCGTGATACCGAACTGGACAGTAAATATCAATCAAATAACTCAAGGCTAGACATTTCATGGAAAGTTTCTGATCTGGAATCAGGAATAAGTCATCACTCGTTTTATATTCAAGAAAAAAAACATGGATCTAAATCTCGATTCTGGCCGACAGAAAAACAATCTGAAGTCATCTACGAGAGTACAGGAACAATGGCACTCCTTTTGGATGATTTAAGTCTCCAGGATGGGGCTATGTATAGCGTTAAAGTTATTTCTACAAACAACGCCCTGCTTTCGACTCATCACGAGTCTCCAGGTGTCATAATAGATACAACAGCCCCAGTTATGTCACAGGTATGTATTATACCTTATAGCATTTCAATAAGCAATTTTGAAAAATATACTAATTTTTTATTGCACTTGAATTTCTATGATCCGTTTCCACAGATACGGTTATCACAACATTGACTAAGTACAAGGTTTGATAACGAGATAAGAAAACTGACATATTTTGTGGTAATTTTGTCGCTTGTTTTTGCCAAAGGCTTCACCTGTTGTCCAAAAGACTTTCTTCTTCAAGACAGTTTAATAAAAAAAGTCTTTTGATTGATTATCAGATCATATGGTCGGATTCTGGTACTTGGCGTTGATATAAACTTGTTTTGCTTCTTTTTTTACAACATTAGTTCTTCGTTTCTGCGTTGGTTGACGCCACAAGGAGTTAACCTTATGAAAAGGATGCCTCTCGAAGTATGGTTTCATTGTTTTTCAAGATTAGTTGTATAAATTCAATTATTTCGTTATCGTTTCACATTCCGATTGGTTTTATTCCTGGGTTTGGATAATACAGTAGTATGATATGCAACTGGAATTTAGATGATAAGATCTTCATTCACCAAATACATCATACATGCCCAACAAATGGTGTTTACATATTGCAGCTGATTTCAATTACGATATTCAATGTGTTCCCGAACAAATGGTGTTTACATATTGCAGCTGATTCGATATTCAATGACCTGTTCCAATTATATCATGTTTCTGTGCAAGCAGTCGCCAACTAACGGACAGACACGGTTTCAAAAGATACAGGTTGATGAAAATTATGGGGAAGATTTACTGTCGTCATATTGATATCTTAAGTCTACTTTGTAGCTTTTGTGTTTGTACTGTTGTAGTTTTTATACACTTAATCATGAAACGTTATGAAACCTTGAGTATTTGTAGACATTTTTCCATTTTCATATAAACTTTGCAGGTACTCATTGGTGTGGCTGGGGAAGATGAAGACATGGATGAGAATGGTAATATTGTACATGTTGAAAATGCACCACTTCGAGTTAACTGGTTTGGTTTTGATTCCGATAGTGCTATTACCAATTACTACCTTGGAGTAGGGACCGAAGTTGGAGAGGTGTCTCTCACTGAGGGTATAATCAACATGCACCAAGATGTATCTGTCGTTCTTGAAAACTTAGACATGAAAAGTTTTGAATTATCACAGAAAAAGTACTATGTTACGATCTATGCCAAAAATGGTGCCGGATTATTGTCAAATTCTATGTCTTCAAAACCTATTGTATTGGTAGAAGAAAACGTTCCGGGCTCCGTAAATGATGGGTTTGAGGATTACACTGATTTTGATATAGACACTGACAAAAGGTCTATCAGCATGTCGTTCAATGATTTCAGAAGTGCTGCTTGCAACATTTTGAAATATGAATGGGCAGTTGGATCTGAGCCATATTTTTCAGACATTCTACCATATACTGACTTTGGAATTGTACTCCAAAATGCTACCTTTGGGCATGGGCAAATTAATGTCAGACTGATAGAAAATATCTTTTATTATACAACTGTACGTGCTACAACAGGATACGGCTGCCATGAACAATATATCTTATCATCGTCAGATGGCTTTAAGATTGACTCAACAAACCCGACGATATTGTCAATATCACCACGAGAAAATGATACCGATACCATCAACGACGCCGATAATATTTTCCAGCGAACCGCCGAATCCC